TCGAGTACTGCACGACTGGGACGAGTTCACCGAGTACAATTTGTCGAGTTGAGGGACGAGTCCTAGTACAAGATTACGAATACGTGCCGAGTACTTGTTTTTTCCGAGTACTTATGATCGAGTACAGGCCAAGTACTTATTGGTACTCAAGTTGTACTCGAGTTCGAGTATGAGTACTCCAAAACTACCAGGATGCAGGGTTATATCTAACCCGGGACTTTAAGAATGTCAGGTCCAATCTGACCCAGATGCAGGTTTATATCTAACCCGGGACTTTAAGAGTGTCAGGTCCAATCTGACCTGGATGCAAGGTTATATCTAACCCATGACTTTTAGAGTGTCAGGTCCAATCTGACCTGGATGCAGGTTTATATCTAACCCAGGACTTTAAGAGTGTCAGGTCCAATCTGACCCGGATGCAGGGTTATATCTAACACGGGACTTTAAGAATGTCAGGTCCAATCTGACCCAGATGCAGGTTTATATCTAACCCGGCACTTTAAGAGTGTCAGGTCCAATCTGACCTGGATGCAAGGTTATATCTAACCCAGGACTTTAAGAGTGTCAGGTCCAATCTGACCCGGATGCAGGGTTATATCTAACACGGGACTTTAAGAGCGTCAGGTCCACTTTAACGATAGGTAGAGGGTGAACAGCTAATTGTCTTACACACAGTGCAAAACTACTGATGATCTGAATCAAGAATTTGTTATGATGTTTTTGATTCAATTGCGAACAGGCATCCTGGAATGACACATTTTTCATTTTTATTTTTGGAATTTGCACAAGTCCTTGATTTTATAGATTTTTTTTATGGCTAAGTGTCTTACATGCAGTGTGACCCTACTGATGGTCTCAATTGAGATTGTATTACCATGTTTTGCCTTTGAGAATGGCCCTGCTTAGGATTGAAAAGTTAGGCCCTCTAATTGTGTTGATTGACTTTCCCTATCCTTGAGAATGTTAACACTTAGATTTGGCATGCATAGTGTATCAAAGGTATAATAGTCTGTGAGTTGCCATGTGTAACTAAACGACAGAAAGTGGGACTGGAACTCATTCAATTCGTCCAATTCATCCAATCCACAAAATGCCTCATTGCCACGTAGGTCCAATTCATCCAGGCTTGACATGTCACCTACAGCCAAGGCAATATGTCCGATGTCTGACTCTGTCAAATTGCAGTCTCTCAGGTCCAGCTTATTTAAGTGTGTCATTTTCGGCAATTCCTTCGCCCAAAACTCAGCCCATCCGCCCAATGGATGGTTGCCACCCAAATCCAAGCCACTCAGTCTGGGCATGTTACCTACAGCCAAGGCAACGTGTGGAATGTCTGACCGTGTCAAATTGCAATCTCTCAGGTCCAGCTTATTTAAGTGCGTCATTTTGGGAAAGTCCTTGGCCCATAACCCAGTACATCCGCCCAATGAATGGTTGCCACCAAGATCCAAGCCAGTTAGTCTGGGCATGTTACATACAGCTATGGCAATGTGTGGAATGTCTGACTGTGTCAGATTGCAACCTCTCAAGTCCAGCTTATTTAAGTGTGTCATTTTCGGCAATTCCTTGGCCCAAAATCCGGCAAATCCGCCCAATGGATTGTTGTAATCAAGATTCAAGTCAGTCAGTCTGGGCATGTTACTTACAGCCAGGGAAATGTGTGGAATGTCTGACTGTCTCAAATCGCATAAGCCCAGGTTCAGCTTATTTAAGTGCATCATTTTGGGCATTTCTTTTGTGGCCCACAAATCAGCACATCCGCTCAATTGATGGCTGCCACAAAGATCCAAGTCAGTCAGTTTCGGCATGTTACCTACAGCCAAGGTAATGTGTTCAATGTCTAACAATGTCAAATTGCAAGAGCCCAGGTCCAGCTTATTTAAGTGCATCATTTTTGGCAATTCCTTGGCCCACAAGTCAGCGGATCCACTCAATGTCCAGTTGCTAGCAAGGATCAAGTCAGTCAGTTTGGGCATGTCATGTACAGCCAAGGCAATGTGTTCAATGTCTGTGCTCTGAAGTTTGCAACTACTTACTTCAAGTTTCTCAAGGCTTGTCAAGTGTTTGATGTGAGCCCATTCTACAGCTCTACCTCCCAATGTTCTGCAACTCTCTATCGACAAGGCCATGAGTTGGTTACAATTCAATGACAACAGGATTTTCTCAAGATCAGCCTTCATGAAGAAAGAACACCAGAAGAGCTTCAGATATCTGAGGTTTTCCATGTAACCAAGGGCGAAAGCTAAACTACTGACTGATGACACCCAAGAAACGTCAATGGTTTCAATGCATGCCAGTTGGGTTGAGTGCCTGTCAGACCGAGAGATGACATCAAGAAGGTATGTGAGACTGCGGAAATCATCATTGTTCGACACATCGATATTTGCTGGGATATGCAAGTCGCTGGTGAGACACCGTGGGATCTTTTCAGATTGGCTTTCAAAAAAACAGTGTCGACTTATTGCTTCTATAATTGATTGGTACAAAGGTTTATCATTATCCTTTTTTAACTTAATGTCAATCAAATTTACGATGTCCGTCATGCACTTTTCATTGTCACCACAACAGCAACGCAAAAGGAACTCATTCGAAACAATGCCCTCATTTGTCCGACAAAGTTGCCTCAACTTGTTTTGAAATTTTCCGGATGGTACAACTTTGTGCAAGACACGTTTCACAAATCCCTGGTTTGACATATGTACACTTTGTAAGTATTTCGCAGCACAGTATTCCTGAATAGTCTTGTGCGTGAATTGTATGTTGTTGTGGCATTTGAGGTCTTTGATAACTCTCTGCTGGGTTAGGATGCCTGCTTTCAGTGCCAGGTTCAGTGCATTTGGTTCAAACTCATCTTTTTGAAAAGAGAAATTCTGGTCGGCACTTACGAATCCACTCAGTGCAGTTTTTCCTATGGCAATCACTGTTTTTGATGCATCCTCGGAGCTATATCCTTTTCTTGTGAACATGTAATCAACTGCCTCAGTGAAAAGGCGTGAAGTTGTTTGGGGGAGTTGTTCATTCTCCTTCCACAACAAACACATGAGAAGGAGCAACATGGGATTTCGTGCAAATTCACGCAGTGTGCTGGACTTTCCTGCAATGTTTTGGATCAGTGCACTGCCACAATCAGGATTTTTGTAATAGAATTTCCGAATGTATTCAATAACATCCCCATCAGTTAACCCCAGAACCTCTGTGTGCATGGAAGGATTTTGGACAAGTGATTCTGACATCAGTGTCTCAAGATGAGAGGGACGAGTAGAGACACAGATGAAACAATCCCTGTATACTGTTCTATTGAGTGCTTTTAGGATAGAACCGAATGAGGCTGCATGAAGTGTTTTGGTCCTCATTTCATCAAAACCATCCAAAAGAATCAAGACCTTAGCTGAGTTGTCCTGAATGAATTTATCAAGTTCATCTTTGGCTATTCCTGAGGTTATGCCTAAAAGTTGATCAAAAATGGAATCAACAAGGTCAGATTCTTGAAACAGGGCACACATCTTTAACAGAAAGACAAGCTTGAATCTTTTCAGGAATTCACATATCTCATCAGCCCAGTCATATGCCATCTTGTCAAAAATGGTTGACTTCCCGACACCACCAATGCCAAATAAAATAGCACGATTGAACTCAGTCTCAGGCCAATCTTTAAATATTTTCTCATACTCTGTGGAATAAACAGTTTCGTCTGAGTATTCTTCTTCTACAGTACCTTTCTTTGTTCTGACCCGCAATTTAGTGTAAATGCCAACAATGGGTCTTTGATCGTCAGGAACCCCCGGGTTAAACTGAACATAACTGCGTGTTGTCTTGTACCATTTCCTCAAAATGTCCCTGGTCTTGTTACCAACTTCTTGGTTGAGATCCCCCACTCTTGGTTCTTGGTCTGGTCTCTGACTCTGTGGAGGTACTCCTATCGAGGTAAAAAAGCAACATGTACAAGCAATAGTGAGCAGGAGGTCATGGGTTCTACCCAGTAAACAAAACACCAAAAAAGAACCTGTTTTGGGGAGAGAGTTTTTATTGAATTTTTGGTTTGGTAGTTTTTAAAATAAATTTTCGCATTTTTATTTAAAACATGATTTTTAAATTAATTTTAAACGGAACTTTGTTTTCTCGTTCCAATGGCACTTGGAAATTACCAACTCATCACGCGAATAAAGAAATGTGATTCCGGAAGGTTTTTATAACTAGTGCGAATCGCGTTATGATCACTATATATTCACTTGACCAAATTACATGTTTTTAAAATCATCTTTATATGGTGGTTACAAAAGGAGATTGTTTCGTTTTTGAAGCACCAATACTTCTGGTTTTACAGTTACCACGAATTTCCGGTGATTATAACGTTATTATTATCTATTCATTACCTAGACTAGTTACCACTGAATTTGACGTAATTACTTGGTGTATATAACAAGTAATTTTGTGTGTAACTAAAACACCAATAGATTTGGTTCTTTAGTTGCCAGTAATTCATTAGTGATCTTCACGTTATTGTGTCTTGTTATTTACCTAGGCATCTTACTGCCCTACATAATGTTATTATCTAGTGTGTGTAAAAGGTCATTTTTTCGGTTTTTTTTAAGACCAATAGGTTTTGTTGTACAATTACCAGTAATTCACTAGTGATCTTCACGTTATTGTGTCTTGTTATTTACTTAGGCATCTTACTGTCCTACATAACGTAATCATCTAGTGTGTGTAAAACGTTATTTTTTTTGTTTTAAAGACCAATCGATTAGGTTGTACAGTTACCAGTGATTCATTAGACTGATCTTCACGTTATTGTGTCTTGTTATTTAGCTAGGCATCTATATTGCTCTACAAAACGTCATTATTTAGCGTGTGTAAAAGGTTATTATGTTGTTTTTTGAAGACCAATAGATTTGGGGCGTTGGGGTGTTCTGGATGGATAGTACCTTTGGCGAGGGGCAGCCGTCCCATGTTTTTAGGGGCTCTTACCACTGGTTCCAACAGTTCACCCTAGCTCATGTATGGCTCCACGGAACTGCTTGACGGCAGTGGCCACCCCCGGTATCCTGACCTCGGCTGGTAAGCTAAACTACATGAGTGACCCTGTATGGTGGACTCCTGCAGGTGAGGGACCTCTCCCCTGTAGTACATAAAGTCTGTATCGGCGGAATAGGCAGGCTTGGTCGATAGGCTAATTCACCTGGTAATGATGGCATGCAGCACTTCCTTCTGTGGTATTCCTTAAGAGTGGTTTGGGGATTGTCATTTTCCCGCTGCCTTGCGGTTTGGAGGCATTGGTTTGTCAAAGGCTAGCAGAGTCAACTGTATCAAAACCTCAGTAGTTCTGGCGTCACACTGAGTATTCAGCCACTTGAAAACATGATGAGTTCAGCCTACAGCACCAGGGTATAAAGCCCCTGCTTCAAATCTGCCCTCTCACAGAACTATTGACACTCAGTCTTATGACGACGGCGTCCGAAACCCTCTTAGAAGGGCATCGTCTGATAAAAATAGTCTCTGGAAGGGTCTTGCTCGACCTAGGAAAACCATCCTTTTTGGTCAGCTTAATTGTCGAAGTCTCTCTTCGCTGTCATCAAGAGAGGAACTTAATAAACACATATGTGACTACAGCGTGTGTCAATAAAAACGCAGGATTAGAAACAAAAATATTAAGAATATAAACCACCCCTATTCATCATAATGTTAACCCTCTTTTCAAAGTACCTTTCCTTCTCTTCACTATGCTTTTTATCCCATCTCATTTGGACAATCCTGTCCAGAGATAGAGTACATTGAAGAAGGGTTATAAATTCCAAGCTGGTCTGATTTGTGAAATCACACATACATAATGAAATGTTTGAATTCAGTACAGGTGAAAGTATTTGTGGGTCACAAAGAAGGACATGTGTGGCAGGATTAGGCTTACATAATCCGTTAGTCCGCAATCAATGTTATTAGTCAATAATTCATGATGCTTTGAAACAATGATAGTCCAGTTATTAAATTTAACTGATACTTATCATCAATTGTTTCAAAGAAAGTTTTGTTCTGGTTTAATTGTCTTCAATGCATACCTGCATTGTACATAACTGGTCGTTGTGTTAAGGTCATTGAATCAGACCAACCCACTTCAGAAGGGCTTCACAAAACTTGTCATTACTTTTGAACCAAAAGTCCAAATTCCACCACACAGAAATCTTGTCAAAGATGAAATTATGAACAATCAAATCATTATCAAACTAGGCACACCAGTAGCATAATTTTCTCAGAAAAAAATCGCTTTGAATCCTGCATTTTTATTGACACACGCTGAACAACCTATCTGTTACCTGCATCCAAGAGCACCTTCAAGTGCATCGATCTGAAGACCCTGATATCCGTATCTCTAGTTTAGGATCATCAACCATCTTCACCTCTTCTGCAACTCGGAATCGACAAGGGGCAGCCGTTGGTGGTGTAGCAATAACTGTTCAAACATCACTGCGCCCGCTGTTGACTTCTATCTCTAAGATCAACGACAGAATTATGCTCGCCGTCTTCAAAGGCAATCCTAAGACATACGTAGTCTCCTGTTACTCTCCCACTAACACCAGTGATGAGGCGTCTATTACTGGGTTCTACAAATGTCTGAATGGCACCTTTGCCTCCATTCCCCTACATGCCCTCCTTGTCATCAGAGGAGACTTCAACGCTCATGTTGCAAGGCAGTTCTTCTACCACTCTACTACCAACCGTAATGGTCAGCTCCTCAGTGACTTTGTCAATCGTAACAACCTTCTGATTACCAACACACTATTTCAGAAGTCCTCCATAAAGCTCTGGATTCGCTGTTCACCTACAAGTACCTGTCACAGATTGACTTCATCCTGTGCCGTAAACGTTGGAGAAACAGCATCCTAGATTCTCAAGCGTATTCAACATCTGACCCAATTGGCTCCGACCATCGTATAGTCTGTGCTAAGATAAGGCTCAGTCTTCATTTCACAAAACCTACTGCCCGTCCTAGACTTAACTGGTCTGCATGGCTTCAGATAAAGAACTTGCATCTTCTATTGAGGACCGTATCACCCATGAGTGGTCCTCATTGTGCCCTGACGATCAATCTTATGGCTCCTTCGTCAACGTGTGTGAGAGTGTTGGGGAGTCTCTCCTTCCATCACAAACCAAACGACCACTTAGCATTGCATCATCGACACCAGTCAATGTAGCTCGAACAAAGGTACTCACCTCCTTACCAACCAATCTTTCTGCTGCTCAATCCAACCTCAGTAGTGTGTATGAAGAGCAAGAAGACCTCAGAGTCAACAACATCCTCAGTGCTTTTGACGAGTGGGAATCGACCAACTCCATCCAAAATGCCTGGAAACTGGTAAAACAGCTCTCTGGTAAATGTCCAAACACCGTTTTCATTCAAGGTGATGATCGACTTGCCACTTGGAAATCTCATTTTGAGAAGCTTCTCAGCTCTGATATTGCCTCCAATGACCCAGTCTCCATTGATCCCGTCTTTGATCCAAACCCTAACATCCCAACTGGCAAATTCTCCCAAGCCGAGGTCAACATAGCCATTAAACAAATGAAGCTTGGCAAGGCTCCTGGTCTGGACAACATACCTATTGAAGTTTGGAGGCTTCGTAAACTTAAGAAATATCTCACAAGGTTCTGCAATGCAACCCTCGAAGGTAACCGCCCTCCAGAATGGGGCTTGTCCGGCATCGTCCCAGTTCCAAAGAAAGGGGACCTCACCATCCCAGACAACTACCAGGAAATCAGCCTCTCTCAAACTGCTGCCAAGGTATACAATCCACTTCTTCTGAATCGCATTCGTCCGGAAGTTGAGAAGATACTCCGTCCTAATCAAACTGGCTTTCAGCCTCTACATTCAACCTCATCTCAAATGCTTGCCCTCAGGCGCCTTACTGAGGAAATTCGTAACCACCAGAAGGAAGCTGCCATCATTTTCATCGATTTCCGTAAAGCATTTGACTCTGTTGACAGACCAACAATGTTTAAGATCCTGCATGCTTACGGTATCCCGGAGGAGACCATTCATGCCATCAAAATTATGTATGAAGATACAAGTGCTGTTGTTCTCACTCCCAAAGGTGAATCAGATTCGTTCTCCGTCAACACTGGAGCTCTTCAAGGTGATCCTCTCGCCCCCTACCTATTCATCATAGTTCTAGATTATGCCCTGCGGACAGCATTAAATGCAAACGATGGTCTCACCCTCTCACGCCGTAGGAGTAGTAGACACCCTGCCCAATACCTATTCCGCTGAACAGCGGAAAAGCCTTTGTTTCTGTTTTTTCTTTTTTCTTCTTTTTGATCTTTTTGGATCCACCCCAAATCCCATTGACTTTGTACACGTTTTTGGTACACGCCACTTTTGACCTAAAACAAAGTCCTTTTCCAATGAAACTTATCTCAGGTAAAGACTTTATAGTGAAGTTGTGTCTCGAAGAGTGACGTCATGATTACGTCATCGACTAATTTATTATAGATTTTTGAATATTTAATTTTTCCCATAGACTTTGTACACAGAAATTTTAAAAAAATTGTTGATTTTCAAAGGGCATTTTTGACTCTTTGCCAGTAATTCATTTAGACCAATCTTTGTCCAAGGAAAGACCCTTGTTTAAACAACATTGTGTAATGATGACTGCATGATGACGTCATCCGGTGTTTATTTATAGGCAATTAGATTGTGACACTAATATTAAAAAATGCATAAGAAATCAACCGTACGCGTCCGCAGCATTTTGTTGCCGGCAAGTGGTAGAATAGGTTGAGGTCTTTATTTCATTCAGTGTGCGTGAAATCAAGTGGCCCTTGCTTCCGGTCGAAAAAGGCCAAAACCGGAAGTGGCTTATCATTTGAAAGTGGTAATAGATATGAACTTGCTTTTAACGGTGTTAGTCTCTTGGCTGATAGTATTCTTCAAATCATCTACCGATGACGTCATGCAATCTTCGAGTGCCCTCTAGCGACAGGTTGAAAATTTTCAAAAATGTGTTTTGAATAGATGTCTGTGGCAAAGTTTGTCGGAATCGCCTAAATATTGGTGTATATGATAACCTTGACCCCCTTAAGACGTGTGAGAAGTTTTAGGCGTATGACGTCATCAGACCGGAAGTTATAATGAAAAGACCCTTTTTCCTTTGAAAATTGCTGAAAAATCAACCATGGCAGTTTTTATATTTGTTTTTACTTTAATTGTCGATTGAGGGGTAGGTCTAAAACATTTTAAAGCTTCGAGGCAATAAGCGAACTCAAACATGGCCTGCGCACGCTTAAAACTTCAGGTTGACAATCACAGGACGTCCACAACGTACATGTACATGCACGTATGTACATCCACACATACATCGTATGTCAGTCAGCCGGCAGAGCTAGCGCACGTGTTGCTGAGGTCAAATCCTGACCACAGTGACCGTTTTAGCCGATTTTCGGCTAACTTTGACAAAACATGCACAGGATGTCCACAATGTACATGTACATGCACGTACGTGTACATACGCACATACATCGTATGTCAGTAAGCCCGCAGGGCACGTGTTGCTGAGGTCAAATCCTGACCATAGTGACCGTTTTAGCCGATTTTCGACTAACTTTGACAGACTTTATGTTCACGCATAGTCAGAGACGTATTATTTATTAAAAAATAGGAAAAGCCCTATGTTCTGCTGCAAACAGACATAGATCTCTAGTATTTAATTTATTTTTATCTTTTTCAAGTCATTTTGCCCATAGCATTTGTGCACGTTTTTTGGACCCCGTCACTTTGGGCACTAAAATCAATCCGATTGCCTTTATACTTGGCACACAGTTGAACCAGCACCTGAAGTTGTGTGCCGAACATTGACGTCATTGTGACGTCATCATGAGTCACGTGACGTGACATTATATGCGATTTTTCTGTTGTGACCATTTTCTAGCAGAATTCGGTTAGATCTGACAGATTGGGCTATATCTCCAGACTTACAGGTCCGATTGGGTTGAAAGTTGGTATGTACCTAGACCGGGATGTCTTATAGATGAAAAATCACTTGATGTCATGATGATGTCATCATGTGACATATGACATCATATCATATAAACATATTTTGAAGGCCTATATCTCCTTAACTACAGGTCCGATGGGGTTGAAAGTTGGTATGTACCTAGACCGGGATGTCTTATAGATGAAAAATCACTTGATGTCATGATGACGTCATCATGGGTCACGTGACGTCACGTTAAAGATTAATAGATCTTTGAAATCAATATAAAATCAACTGTGAGAGACCTGAACTTAATGTTTGCGGGAATCGATAGAATAATCCAGGGGCTTAATTTTTTTTATACTATGTGCAAATCATGTGACCCTTCCTTCTGGTTGAAACCGGAAGTGCCTTGTAATTTGAAATTGAGGAAAGATGTGAACTTGCTTTCAACGATATATGCTATGGCTAAGTTGTTATTTACAAACAAAAATTTAGTTATAGATGAAAATTGATGTGACATCATCGTGAGGTCATCACATCACATGTAACATCAAAATTCAAAGCCCTATGGGATTTTAATCATATATTATACCCACCAGTTATTATCAACAGAACTACACATCCTTCCTGGATGGAACTTATACTGGAAACTTTACATGTCACATGTCACAAAAAAATACCGAAACAGCCCTGTGTTTGTCCACAAACATAAGTCTAGTTGTGTCTTGTTATTTAATAGGCATCTTACTGCCCTACATAACGTAATTATTTACTGTGTGTAAAGGGTTATTTTTTCCTTTTTTAAAGACCAATAGATTTTGTTGTACAGTTACCAGTAATTCATTAGCAGTCTTCACGTTAATGTCTCTTGTTATTTACTTTAGCATCTTACTGCTCTACATAACGTCAGTATTTAGCGTGTGTAAAAGGTTATAATGTCGTTTTTTAAAGACCAATAGATTTAGTTGTACAGTTACCAGTAATTCATTAGTGATCTTAACGTTATTGTCTCTTGTTATTTCCAAGTCCTAAGCATCTTACTGCCCCGCATAACGTAATTATTTAGTGTGTGTAAAAGGTTGTTATCTCGTGTTTTAAAGACCAATAGATTAGGTTGTACGGTTACCAGTGATTCATTAGTGATCTTTACGTTATTGTGTCTTGTTATTTAGCTAGGCATCAGTAAGCCATACATAACGTAATTATTGAGTGTGTGTAAAAGGTTACTTTTTCGTTATTTAAAGACCAATAGATTAGGTTGTACGGTTACCAGTGATTCATTAGTGATCTTTACGTTATTGTGTCTTGTTACTTACATAGGCATCTTACTGCCCTACATGTATACATGTAACGTAATTATCAAGTTTGTGTAAAAGGTTATGTTTTCGTTCTTTAAAGACCAATAGATTAGGTTGTACAGTTACCAGTGATTCATTGGTAATCTTCACGTTATTGTGTCTTGTTATTTGCCTAGGCATCTTACTGCCCTACATAACGTAATTATTTAGTGTGTGTAAAAGGTTATTTTTTTGTGTTTATTAAAGACCAACAGATTGTTTTACTGTGACCTTAATTTACATGTTGACCCGAGGTGGGCGTGGTAAACCTTGGTGAAGCAATTGTGTCACTTTTTGGCGGTACGTTTTAGGATGTTTCTATGTAGAGAATGTTATAATATTTAGCTATTCAAAGTCTAAAAGAAACAAATTTGCCAAAAAAATACAAACAAAGTAAATAACATATTTTTACGTGCAAACTGTGACTACAGACGACGGTGGTCGAGAGGCACATACCAATTAAGCACCTTCTTAGATTGGAGAAGGGGCATGATCACAGGACCCATGATGTCTCGTTATATGTGTATAGTGTCTGTCTACTAACCAATATAAATTGAGTTTAATAATTATTTGAATA